AGAGTAAGTTTTCCTGGTTGTGCCCAGAGTGGCCACCAGGGCTCCCTGGGAAGGGCTGGAGGCCCCCTATTTCGAATGAAGTGTCTACACAGCACTTCATTCCAAATAGCTATTTCCAATTTGGCGTTACTCCTGGTAGAATGAGGTTTACCAAATTCGAAGTAAGGGCTCCGCTATTTCGAACTAGCGGTTTGCCTGTGCAGATGCTAGTAAAGTGAATTCGAAATAGCTGCTGTTATTTCCAATTAACTTTGTAGTGTAGACATACCCGGAGACACCCTCCCCTCATGCCTGCCCCGTGCCCGCGTTCTTCACCAACCCAGCACCCCAGTCAATTCAGGATGACCACTAATTCATCTCTTTCCCCTCCTTCTCTCCCCCACCCTCCCGTTTGCCTGTGCAGATGCTAGTAAAGTGAATTCGAAATAGCTGCTGTTATTTCCAATTAACTTTGTAGTGTAGACATACCCGGAGACACCCTCCCCTCATGCCTGCCCCGTGCCCGCGTTCTTCACCAACCCAGCACCCCAGTCAATTCAGGATGACCACTAATTCATCTCTTTCCCCTCCTTCTCTCCCCCACCCTCCCGGCAAGGCGGGCGCTGGGCAGAGCTGGCTGCAGCTGCAGGGCCCCCGGCAGGAGCTGCAGAAAGCAAAGGTAATGGGGGGCTACTGGGTTCCCTGACTCCCGCCCTCCTCCGTGCTCCAGTCTCCCATCCTCCGACACATCCCTTCTCCCCCCAAATGTGCCCTCCCCCCATTTCTATCCCCATCCCCCGACGCACCCCTTGTACCTTCATGCCACGTCCGTCCTCCGACACCGTCCCGTCCCCCGACACTCCCTTTCCTTTCTCACTCCCCTGGTCTCCCTTGCCAGCATCTGACATACACACCCATCACCGGTCATCCATCCCCGACATTTCCATCCGTTCCCGCAACCGCAGACATACACCCCATCTCTTCCTCACCCATCCCCATCCACGCAAACACCCATCCCCAGACAATTCCCCCTCCTCTAACCTCCAACCAACACACACACACATCCTCCCACACTCCTCCAATTATCACAGCACACCCCACTATCCAGGTACATATTTTTCAACTCCCTTGTACACCACCTTCCCTCCCTCCACCCTGTCCGTCCATCCCTCCACCCTGTCCGTCTGTCCATCCATCCGTCCGCCCACCCGCCTGCCCATCCGCCCATCCTTCCTCAGACTATCCCCCCACACACCCCCTCTATCTGTCTGTCTGTCTGTCTGTCTATCCACCTTGTCTGTCGTCCATCCCCCCACCTCTGCTCACTCACCCATTCATCCATCCATCCACCATCCATCTGTCCCCATACACATCCGTCCACCCTTCTGCCTACCCTATCTGTCCATCCATCCATCCATCAATCCGTCCATCCATCCAAGACTCCCCTCTGCAGTGTTGGAGCGCTTGATAAAATGGCCAACCTTTCCCGACTTTTGTGCAGAGACCTACATCCCCCCCATGTGCAGCAGCAGGCGGTCAGTGCACGTGGAACCGTGTGTATGGCTGTCCCCCGACCCCACCTGGGTAAATATATCACAGCCCCGGGCGTGTGAGTACTGACCACCCCCCACCGTGGATACTGATCACCAACCTGCGGGGGTGCAAAGCACGGGTGTATCACCACCACGAGCATGAGAGAACACAACGGGATGAATCTCTAAGGGATTTAATACACATACCCCCCACACCCTCTTATATGTGTAGCTGTCACAGCCCTGCCTCACCATTCCCGAGGGAATTTAACACCCTGCCCTAGAATGTGTGTCCCAGCAACTTGGGAGTGGGTGTGTGACAGGTCTGGGTGTTCTACCAACACCCTGTGCGCAGTTCAACCACATCCTGACTCGTTAGGTTTGGTGGCTAATTCTTCTCACCTGAAGTTTCCCCCACCTGTCTCCATCCTGGGTGAGTTTCCTTGCACCCTGAGGCCTCCCGATTGCTCCTCACTCCCCGGCTGTGCACTGGCGGTTGTAACATTGAGTCTTGGTGCCTTCACACCCTGCCCTGCCTCTGGAATAGATAGATGAAATTTTACCCAAAATTTGGCTGCCTAGAGCCCACCACGCTCAATGGGCCAGATCCCAGCTGGGTCAATGGGCCGTAGCTCCATTGGGGTCAATGGGGCAGATCCCAGCTGGGGTCAATGGGCCGTAGCTCCTCAATGGGCCGTAGCTCCATTGGGGTCAATGGGGCAGATCCCAGCTGGGGTCAATGGGCCGTAGCGCCATTGGGGTCAATGGGGCAGATCCCAGCTGGGGTCAATGGGCCGTAGCTCCTTTGGAGTTGATATGAGCAGATCTCTGATACACATCCCTTTGAGGATTTGGCCCTTGATGGTTCTGTCCTTCGATGGCCCGAGAGCACGGTCACAACCGCTGAGCAGACTTTGGAACCAGACCCAAAGCCCCGACTGGCCAGGAGTTCTGTGCATTGACGCCCCCAGCCGATTCCTAGAAGTCCCAGACGGTCCCCTTGGCCACCCCGGTCTGTCTGGGCACCCAGGGGAGCCTGCCTTTGTGACAGGTGGCCCCGTCCCCACAGATGGCCACCATAGTCCGCTTCCTCCCTGCCCCGAGGAACAGGCGCTTACCCCAGGTCCCTCACCCCTCGTACTTAGGAATCCTTGCCCTGCTGCGTCCATGCAATGTGATCCCACTCCTGTGCTCTGAGCTTAAGTTGGCCGGCAGGAGGCCTCCGCTCGCGTCGTCCGGCGAGGAGAGCGAAGGACAACCGTGCCTGGTCTCTTTAACGTCCCATCATTGGCCGGCATCCCCGGGCCAGGCGATCACGGTTAGAGTCCTAGTTCGTGTCTTTCTCCAGCCAGCTGCATTTTACGGATGTTTCTGTCCCTGTACCGGCCCTTTTAATCGCCGCCGGAGTGCCATGTGGAGTGCTCCTGGCAGCTTTTAGGGCTGCCTGCGGAAGCCGGGGTGTCGGAGGGTTAAGAGGTGGTGGGGAGCATGCACTGGTCCACACAGTGCTGAGGCCTGGTGGCCCACAGGCTCCGCCCCTTCCACTTTGAGGCCCCGCCCCCTTCAGGGCCGCTGGGGGAGATAGATAGATAGATAGATAGATAGATAGATAGATAGATAGATAGATAGATAGATAGATAGATAGATAGATAGATAGATAGATAGATAGATAGATAGATAGATAGATAGATAGATAGATAGATAGATAGATAGATAGATAGATAGATAGATAGATAGATAGATAGATAGATAGATAGATAGATAGATAGATAGATAGATAGATAGATAGATAGATAGATAGATAGATAGATAGATAGATAGATAGATAGATAGATAGATAGATAGATAGATAGATAGATAGATAGATAGATAGATAGATAGATAGATAGATAGATAGATAGATAGATAGATAGATAGATAGATAGATAGATAGATAGATAGATAGATAGATAGATAGATAGATAGATAGATAGATAGATAGATAGATAGATAGATAGATAGATAGATAGATAGATAGATAGATAGATAGATAGATAGATAGATAGATAGATAGATAGATAGATAGATAGATAGATAGATAGATAGATAGATAGATAGATAGATAGATAGATAGATAGATAGATAAGATAGAGGGTGTGTGTGGGGATAGATAGATAGATAGATAGATAGATAGATAGAGGAGGTGTGTGGGGATAGATAGATAGATAGATAGATAGATAGATAGATAGATAGATAGATAGATAGATAGATAGATAGATAGATAGATAGATAGATAGATAGATAGATAGATAGATAGATAGATAGATAGATAGATAGATAGATAGATAGATAGATAGATAGATAGATAGATAGATAGATAGATAGATAGATAGATAGATAGATAGATAGATAGATAGATAGATAGATAGATAGATAGATAGATAGATAGATAGATAGATAGATAGATAGATAGATAGATAGATAGATAGATAGATAGATAGATAGATAGATAGATAGATAGATAGATAGATAGATAGATAGATAGATAGATAGATAGATAGATAGATAGATAGATAGATAGATAGATAGATAGATAGATAGATAGATAGATAGATAGATAGATAGATAGATAGATAGATAGATAGATAGATAGATAGATAGATAGATAGATAGATAGATAGATAGATAGATAGATAGATAGATAGATAGATAGATAGATAGATAGATAGATAGATAGATAGATAGATAGATAGATAGATAGATAGATAGATAGATAGATAGATAGATAGATAGATAGATAGATAGATAGATAGATAGATAGATAGATAGATAGATAGATAGATAGATAGATAGATAGATAGATAGATAGATAGATAGATAGATAGATAGATAGATAGATAGATAGATAGATAGATAGATAGATAGATAGATAGATAGATAGATAGATAGATAGATAGATAGATAGATAGATAGATAGATAGATAGATAGATAGATAGATAGATAGATAGATAGATAGATAGATAGATAGATAGATTAGATAGAGCGGGTGTGTGTGGGGTGATGGATGGATGGAAGGGTGTGTGGGGATAGATAGAGAGGGGGTGGATGGGGACAGTTAGACAGCAAGGTGTATGGGGTGGATGGACAGATGACAGGTAGTGCATGGATGGAAGGATTCAGTGATAGTGCAAGAGTGGGGGTTTGTATAAGGATAGATACGTGTGATCATGTAAATAAATGCATCATGAAGTATCCATAAGAGGGGCAGAGTTAAGGTTACCCAGACATTTGCAATTCGAGCATTTCCTAACTTTTAAGCGATGGGCTTTCCTTCCTCCCAAACTGTGATTGAAATGCAGATGTTGTCGGTACATATGTGTATAATTACAGATATTAGTGCCCTGATCAAGATAATGTTTGGTGCTACACATAGTCCGGCCAATACTGGGATCCCATTGTGCCAGGTACTGCCCAGACCCCAATCAAGCTCTGGGCCTCATTATGCCCAATAAAATCCAATGGAAGTCAGGGCCTCTGTCTTGAACGTGTTGCACAGAGAACCCTGACTTCAAAATAAAGCACCAACCTAGGCTGCTGGAGACTCCCCTTCAGTGCCATGCAGTAGAGGGCTCATGATACACAGTGAGCCGAGGGCACCTTCATGTCAGCCGATGCCCTGCCATAGCACGTCCTAACCCTGTCCCTCTGTCGTGTCCTCCAGGACTACATCAAGGGGCTCTGCAACCCGGAGTTGAGCGAGGAAGTCTGCTACCCTAAGGACATGCAATGCGTCTTCGTGGGAGCTCAAGGTCTCTTCCTGGACTGCCTCACTAAAGGGACCTCTGCCCACCTGGTCCTGCTCAACCCCGGCTCCCTGCTGGTCTCAGGCCTAGCCGAGGCCTTTGTGATGGCTCAGAGCCGTATCCAGGAGTTCGTGGAGAAGTACCAGAAGACGCCCCGGCTGCCCGATGAGCAGGACGTGCTAGTGAAGAAGGCCTTCCGGGAGCTGGTGGAGTTCCATGATGACAAACACGCCATGGACCTACTCATCCTACCCACCCCGCTCAAGGAGGAGCTGCTCAACCTGGTGCGGGACATCCAGGAGGAAGATGGGGCCCGGGCACCGTGGAACGGTGCCTCATGGTGGGAAGCCAAAGCAGCTGGTGGGGGTAGGCCTCAGGGACAATCCCAGGACTTCTTTGACATCAGTAGACCTCCAGACCGGACAAAGCTGGAGGGTGAGCGGCCAGCGCTTTATGAGCGGTCATCGAAACCGACCCCAGGTTGGGGCACTAGCCAGGAGGCTCAGGAAGACTCAACGTTGCCCCGCAGTCAGGATGTGGCGAGAGGTGTGGAGGAAAGGGGACCAGAGGAGACCAGCCAGGATGAAGAGGAGAAGGAACCATCGGTCGGGGCCCTGTCGTCGTCATGGACGGAGAAGGAGTTTCAGATGATGCTCAACTTCTTCAAGACCATGGGTTACGAGGAGCGGGTGGTGAAGAAGGTACTGAAGGATGGCGGTGTGCGAGAGACCCCCTCGCAGATCCTGGACAGGGTCCAAATGGAGCAGGCATCCTTCTCCCGGCAGGAGCGTGGCCCTGTGCCCTTCCAGGAGCCCCGGGCAAGGGAGATGTCGTCTCCTCCTCCTCCTCCTCCTCCTCCTCCTCCTTCTCTTCCGCCATCACTGGAGAGCACCCAACATGAAAACGAATACCTGCTGGAGGTGATCAAGGCAGCGGCAGCCAACTGTGGCCACTGCCCCAGCGAGATCCCAGCAGAGCTCCAGACAGGGGCCCCCTTGGCCGGGTTGCTGAGGAAACTCAACGAGAAAGCCAACCGCCAAGAGGAGGCCAGGGTGGAGAATGGGCCGGAGCACAGAGGCAGCCGCAGAGAGGGAGTGCCGGCCCTCTCCAATGGCAAGGTGTATCTCCAGGGTCCACCTCACTGTGAGCCAGAGAGGAAAGACGGGTCTTGTCTCCACAGGGCGGTTCGTGGCCCACCTCCCTTCTCAGAAAGCTCTGATTTCCCCATGGACGTGACCCCTGTGGCTTCGCCTGCATGGGCAGCCGAGGAGAGCCAGCCAACTGTGGACATGGACCCAGTGCCGACCGTGACTGGAGCCCAGCGGTTCAAGGAAGCCATCCAGACACCCTTCAAGCTCAACTTGGCCAACACACCCGGGAAAAAGAACCTACGGAGGATCATTATCGATGGCAGCAACATAGCCATGGTGTAAGTAGCCTGTGTAGATGCATCTTGCTCTGGAGACCTAGCACGTGGTGGATGGTGAGCCCAGTTAAGCTGTTAACCCCATTGACATAGGTCTTCCATCTTGCCTGCAGGCCTCAGTCCACGTGAACTAGCCTCAGGACTCTAGGAGTAACCCTTGAGAGTTAAATAGGCCCCAGCATTTTATGGTTGACTTTCATAGATCTCAAGACCAGATTAGCCAGAACAATCTAGGCGTGATGGGCCTATTGGCCTCAATATGCCTTAGCCACGCTCCAAATCCAAAGGCTTGATTTTTTCCTAGACCTCAAGACTAGAACCCGTGGCAAGACTCTGGACGTTACTTTCTTTCATGCTTCAAGGTCTGATCAGGCCCCACATCTTTCTCTGTTTGATCTGCCCCATAGGTCCCAAGAACAAACTCAGATCCTAGACTTGACATCTCTGTAGGCCTCAAGTCTCAAGGGTTGACTGTAGACCTCAAGTCTCAAGGGTTGACTGTAGACCTCAAGGGTTGACCATCGACCTCAAGATCGACCTAGGTTTCAGGACTCTATTTTAGATTTTCCTGGGACCAGTCTTGTCCCCAAAGCTGTAGGCTTCCCTTGTCTGTAGGCCACTGGGTTTGGTCCTCTCTTGAAGTCTTCAGAGGAACGACCGGTGTAGAGTCCTGAGGGCTAGTTTGGTCTTGAGGCCTATGCACAAGGCACTCAGCTTTCTGGGACCTAGTCTCACCTTGGAACCGATGGGAACGTCACGCCTTGGATAGTGGCCGGTCTCCCCCCATCTTTGTCCAACCCTCCATGCCTCACCATCGCCTCCCGTCCCTTCTGCAGGCACGGCTTACACCAGTTCTTCTCCTGCCGGGGCATTGCCCTGGCTGTGCAGTATTTCTGGGACCGGGGGCACCGGGAGGTGACAGTCTTCGTGCCGCAGTGGCGGATGGGGAAGGCGGCCAGGGTGGAAGGTAAGAAGGGAGTTGGGCGGGCAGGGGGGACGGACCATGGTCCTGCCTTTGCCGATTGTGCCCCCAGCTCCATACCTGGGGACTCGCCTTCATGGTCTTGTGTGATATTGTACCTCTGCCACCCCAGGGCTTTTCACTACCCCTTCCCTGGGCTGGCCCCCTAGGGCCTTTTGGTCCCCCCCAGGCTGGCCCCCTAGTATCCTTTGCTCCTCCCCCCAAGGCTGGCCCCCTAGGGCCCATTGCTACCCTACACCTTGCTGCCCCCTAGGGCTAGATCCTCGCCCACATGGCCCCACCTCCAAGGGACGCGCCCTCCCCCTCTGTTTCTCCCTCCTAGAACCCATCCCTTCCCCCCCCCCGTCCTGCCCTGCTCACCCCCTCTGCCCTTCCC